GTGGCTGTTGTAGTAATGTAAAATGTAGTTAGATGAGGCCCTGAAACATAAACCCTTGTATCAGAGGCCCGGTATGAGGCCTAAGGCCTGAACTAAACTAATGGTCAAGACTTTAACATAAAGCAAAGTTAAGCTGTGAGCAAGAGACAGGCCCTGCTCAGCCGGTCCGTTGTCAGGGAGCACATATGTACTAGCAGAACTGTAGGCATCTGATCCGGGGAGCTAGAGACTGTGTTTCATTTGGCAATAAACCTTGCCTTGTGCCTTTGTACCTTATCGGAGTCTGTGGTCCTTGGGGTTTCTCTCGGGGTCTTCTGTGCCAGCTATCTGCGCAGAGCCGGGGCAGCACACAGAGGGAACACATGCACGCAACTGACTTATCAACATCGATAGCTGTTGGATAAAGCAGACCACCACATTGGTGACACTTGATGACAGCTGTAAGTCAGCCGAATATAGGTCAACTTTCTAGTGCAGACATACCCTAAATCAGTGCTTCTCAAACATTGCAGGTTGGCAACCCTTTATTTGAAGTTAACATTTTTCACAACTCCATTACATTTACTACAAAAGGCAAGAGTAAAAATGTATAGATGGTAACAATCATAACCCTATGTAATTTATAATTTATTTGGGTGCGTGGTTTAAGAGGTTGCCATAGAATACTTGACCTTGTATGGTAAGGATGTGTGGGGAGTGAGATTTTCTTTACCATAGATTGTAATAAAAATTGTTATGCTTTGTGACCCCCCACAAGGGGATCACAAGCCACTGGCTTAGAAAACACTAACCTAAATTGTGTAGGAAGTCAGACTAGAGATGATCATAATGACCCCTTGTGGACTTAAAAATCTATAACTTCTCAAAGTTACTGATTTTCTTTCTGATCTTAATCTAGTCCTTGTTGTTGAGGTACACAGCTTCTGGCATATCCAAGTAACTTAACAATATTTTAGTACATTAGGTAGAGAGCGATCCCTCCTTCAATGCCCTTAGTGAAGCCAACTCTGCTGCATTTCCTCCATGATGAAAACTTGTCTCTTTCCATCCAAACGCACATTTAAGCCTGTCTTTCTGACATCTCCTTGTGGATGCCCAGCTAGCAATTTATCTTCAGCATGGCCAAAATTGAGCTTACAATCTTCACTCACAAATTTTCCATCACAGTGGATCACACCACCATTCTCCCAGTCACTCATGTCCATAATCTGGATGTCATTTTTGACTCACCCTCTCTCTAGATACACACGCATCCAGGGTATCTCCAAGTATCACCACTTCTATCTGCATAATATTTCAAAGTTTTAGCCTTTTTCTGTCTCTCCAGATTGCCAAGGCTGTTGTTCAGACCTTCATCAGCTCATGCTTTTGTAACATGTTTTTGTATATGAAATAAGTTATATAAGTATATAAGTTGTTTTGTGCTTTAGAATAAGTTGTACTTTATGCTTTTACATTTGGTTAAGGTAGTTGACCATGTATTAGATATGGAGTCTGAAATTCAAAATGGTGTGTCTGCCAAACAACAGCTCGACTTCATCTTTGTTTAGCTTCTTGTTGAAGTTTTCGCACCCTTTTGGAACTTAGGCGGGAAAGGCAGTTAATGGTTAGCACAGAACTGGCTCAAACAGGTTCCAGCAGGGGAGCTGCCAGTTTTACTTCAGAACTTTGGTGCGCTTGTTCCTATATAAACTCTGAGTGCCCGCAGCCTAGTTGCTGTCTGTCCTAGAGGCAGCCACGGTACCGTTGTATTTGTGTGGCTACGTGGACCAGAGATCAGAAGACCAGCATCTGAAGACATCAGCGTTAAAAACTAACTGTGCTACCAATCTATAAACCCCACATTATTTTCAGAGAAATGTACAGAGGTCCTGTTGATTGCTCACCCTTCCATGATCGCAGAGCCAGGCCTCTCTTCAGCATCAGCAGATCCTGTTGATCTCCCACTAAGAAGCGGTTGAGACCCAGGGTCCATCAGTTGACTGTGACAATGGTGTCGTGCCATCTACTGCCTATCAACACCTAGAAATGGTGGAGTATCTTGGGTATTTTTGTTTTAGGTTTGTTTGTTTATTGCCAGGGTATCTGTTTGGTCGGGCCTGGATTTTAAATCCAAATTGTCAAACCACATCTCGCTGTTGTTTCTTATTAAGTTATCTGTTCTAAATAAAAGCTGTTATCTGTTTACTTTATTCTTCTCTCTTCTTTATCCATTTGCATCACTGAATAGGGAGGTACACTATCTTTCCCTATACCGCATAAGGGGCCAAGATCCTGCTAATTAGCTGCAAGGTATAGCTGGCCTATACCATCCTCACCATCATAGTTAACGTTGCACGGTTAACACTTTCACTACTATAATCTACTTTTCTCTGGCTTTGAGGCAAGACAAATTGCCATCTTAAAGACATTTAGAGTGTTCCAGCTAGGATTATCTTCCTGGCTCATCACACTCAAAACTTCTGGGCTGCTACTGGCACAGTTCTAAAAATTTCTTCTATTTTAAGGGTCTAACTGAGCATTTCAACATTCTGCTGCATGACCAAATTACCACTTTTGAAAATCACCATGCCTGTGGCTTGCTGAAGGTCTCACATCAAGTCAGTAATACAGCTCGTGTGGTCCAGGAATACAAGTCAAGAGATAGGAATTCTAGTTACAGCTCTGCCATTGATTTGTCTTGTGACTCTTGGCAAAATCACATACCCTTTCTGTGCCTTTGGGATTTAAGAATACCAGTGAAGGAACAGGAATAATCTGAGAGACTGATAGCTAGCTAGAGGGATTAGAGACAAGAACAAAAACTAAAATGAGATTCAGCTTGGTAAAAGGTATGTTGATGCCACAGTTAACTCTGATTACGTCTGAGTATTAAACTGAGGCTACGGCCTAACTTCCTCAATCCCTGTAACTCTGTTTCAAGGGCAGTCACAGTAATTATCTTCCTCCCTACTTAATTGCTGTCCTGAATAACAGTGGGGGAGGTCTGGATATTAGGAAAAACTTTTTCACTAGAAGGGTGGTGAAGCACTGGAATGGGTTACCTAGGGAGGTGGTGGAATCTCCATCCTTAGAGGTTTTTAAGACCCAGCTTGACAAAGCCCTGGCTGGGATGATTTAGTTGGGGTTGGTCCTGCTTTGAGCAGGGGCTTTGACTAGATGACCTCCTGAGGTCTCTTCCAACCCTAATCTTCTATGATTCTTACATAACATGAGGGAAAATGGAACAACCAAACAGGAATACAGGATTAAGTCTGTCATAAAACTATTGGCCACATAATTGTGCCTCTAGCCTGCTTCATGCATAATAAAAAACCCTACCCTTACAGTGAGCTGCAGTAGCAAAGGGGAGGGAGAGTCTCTCTCTCTCTCTCACTTGTTGGCATGCATGTACACTCAGCCCCAGCCCACCTCCCCTGTCTCAGAGGCTGCTCCAGGCACACTGGAACAGACGTGCTTCGAGGAAGAGGCGCGTGTCCCCCGGCAGAGTTTTATTGCATTTTTCTACACGGGGGTCACAGAAACATGCGAGCCATATGAATTCTGCACCCCCACATTGGCGCAGAATCCCCCCACGAGTAACATATGTATAAGAAACATAGGGGATTAGGAAAGTAGATGTGAACTCTATACACCACAATCGTAGTGAATAGTTTGTAGATATATGCAAATATGTCCCCATTTTATTAAACAGCTATTTTATTATTATTATTAATAGAGATGCTATTTGTGATTTTCATGTATTTTACTATCCAGCTCTTATTCAGTATTGAACCCAGAAGGAAGCCTCTAACAGACTGAATAATTTTCCTTCTCTTACCCCTTTAGGCATCATAAAGGATAGAATCCAGTAAAGGTTCCTACTTATATTAGACTGTTTAGGAATCCTTATTTCTTTCTTATTCTTCACTAGGATTTCTACCATCTTAAAGTTAGAGTCTCACTGCCCCTCACAAACACAATCTTCATGTGTGGCTTCCTATTTCTGAACTCCCAGAGTTCATCACTCCTCAAAGTCTCATTTGCTTTGGCCTGTGTCTATTCTCTACATGAAGTGGAAACAATTACCAAGGCCTCCTTAAAGAAGCTACCTAGAATATTATTTCTCCTTTTCCTCAGAATACTTGTCAGGATTCTTAACTAAGTTCTACAATAGCTATACTGGGACTCTCCTATATCACTCTGTGACACAAAGACTCCTTGCCGATGGGTCCCTCGGTCTTTGCAAACAACTCTCACCCCAGACCTGACAAACACTACACCAAACACTTCTTAGAGGATATTTATCCATAAAGAGTAAAATGTAAGGTATCTACAGAAAGCTCATAACTTCTCAAGATTCATAATCATTGCAAGATGTATGTACAGGTAATATTTAAGGCATAATGTATTTATACAGAAAGTATGCTTTATAGACTTGGAGTAAAAGTTAGTCATCAAAGGATAATATGTCTCTGTGATGACCCATTCAAGAATGAGGGAGTTGCCACCTTGCCCTGGTTAGCCAGTGATGCAATACCAGGCTCAATTTTCTAGCCTTGCTCCATCCCTAGACTATCAATGGAAAACATCAGAGATAACCACAAACAGTTGAAACCACTTGAATGTAAAAAAGGAACATTGCAACAGACAGGGGTTTGCCATGGCTGTGAATAAAGACAAAAAAGACTGATTCAGAATAATGGGTGGTGAAGAAAGACCTTTCACCGAAGAGACATCTTGGGGATCAGGGATGTTCTCAAGAAAAATTGGATCCCGGTTCCTGTGAAGCCAGCCAAGTCTGCAAGAGACTGAACTTGTGGGGGGAAATGACCCACTTGTACTTTATTAGATAGGAAAGGTAACTGTTAATAAGTATAGACCCAGGTTTGCATTTTACTGTTTTGTATTACCACCATTTATGTACATCACTCTCTTTTTTCTAATTAACTCTCCATTCTTTCTTACAATAAAACAGAGTAGGTTTATTTAAGTGCTCACAAGCGCTGTATGTTACACCAGAGTTGGGGGGTGGGAGGGGATGAGGGTGTTTAAGGTAAAACTGGTAAAGGGATACACAACACTGTTAGGTGCACAGGATCTGGGATTTCTGTGAATAGCCACTATCAGGGACTGGATATCACAGGAGAAAGATTCAAGGGACTGGTTTGCATATATTGTTAGCCTGCAAGTCAAAGTCAGGGCTGGCGCAGCACAGAGAGTGCTTGAGTAGCTGGTGGTGTTAGGCTGCTGACACCCAGCTAGGGGCAGGCAGGACTCCCTCAGGCTGGAGGCAGGGAGAACAAGATGACTCACAGGCCGGGGTGCCCTGAGAATCATCACACACACCTCTTATACAATAAAGTTGGGGGTCTTTTTCACCTCTATGTTCCACTATTCTATGTCTCATACAGGGAAGCAATACTATATAATACTAACTAAGGCTAAGATTATGTCACAGAGGTCACGGATTCTATGACTGTCAGAGACCTCCATGACATTTTCCAGCCCCAGGGTGGCAGGCCAGAGCTGTCAGCTGGTGGGAGCCCCACAGCTCTCAGACGCAGTAGGTGGCGGGGGGACCCAGGGCTCTGAGCCACTAAGGGTGGCAGAGGGACATCGGTGCTCCCAGTCACTGCAGTTCTGACCCACTGTGGGTGGACCCCAGAACTCCCAGCCACCCCAGGCAGCGGGTGCTGGACACCCCCTCCCTTCTAAAGTGGGGCTCAGGTCTCAGGCCTCCTCCCATCAGTCCCATTTTGTCAGTTATTTTTCTTCCATTAATTTTTTTTAATTGCTCGTGACCGGTCCCTGACTTTTGCTAAAAATAACTGGGACAAAATCTTAATATACTAACTAATCTATATTTTTGTGAGACATGGCCTCTTCTATCAATAATCTGGGTTCTTGTGTTTCCATCTCACTTGGAAGTGATGCCTTGTGACCTTTAGAGCAAGACCTAGACAAATTTCTCCGTTTGACCTGTCTCCAAGGCTTCAGACACTAGGAAAGAACAAAAAGTATTAAGGAGCTTATGGCTAATTGCTTGCTAGTCTGTTTGGAAATGTTTATCCAATCTTGAATCCAACAGAAAACATATTTAACTTGAAGTAGACTACTCAAGAAGTGTCTTAATTTAACACAGGCATAATATTGAGTTTGACACTCAAACATCATATCCAAGATAAACACAACACTCCTCTTATGAGTTAAATATCATCACATATTTCCCTTAGACTATTGTAATACTTAGAAATGCTTATTAAAAAGGTTAAGAATAGCTCAGTGGTTTGAGCATTAGCTTGCTAAACCCAGGGTTGTGAGTTCAATCCTTGAGGGGGCCACTTAAGGATCTAGGGCAAAATCAGTACTTGGTCCTGCTAGTGAAGGCAGGGGGCTGGACTCTATGACCTTTTGGGGTCCCTTCCAGTTCTATGATATAGGTATAATTATTTTCCTGTAAAACTTGCTACTTTAAAAGGCACTGTAACTGTAGACACTCTTTTAATTGTAACAGATTGTACTATAGACTCTACCCTCAGCTAGACTTGCTCAATTTTTTATTTTTTGGGGGGTCAAATTTTTGAAAGACTCCTACCCATTCTACTTTCCACCCAATTTCAAAAATGGTTTAATAAAATGCACTAGTTCTGTTAGCATAGTATTGTTTCCCTAAATCATGTATAGTCTCTGTCTCAGGAGAAGTTTTGTTCCCCCACGCTGTTCACCCTCTACAGCTGTGACTAGTGTTGCTTCAGCCAACCAGTGGTGTTCATGCTGTGTCAGTAAGATGGCCATTTTGTTGAACAAATTTTGCTTTTGCTGTCAAAAAATATATACCAACTCAGCTTCCTCTCCACTGTTTTTTTCCATCAGCCACCTAATTCCTTCCATACTGGCTTTTCACCAGTTGCCTGGCCCATTCCATTATTTCTCATCCCAGACACTTTAGTGATCCCTACACGGCATAGTGATCCCAGGCTCAGACTCAGGTTTAAGCCAAAACTCCCCTACTGTCCACACACAAAGCCTTATGACCTGTGCCAGAAACCTCTCAGGCCTGTAGCCTCACCCAGGCATATGGGTCCAAGCCAGAGTCCCACTGTGGCATGGGTAAAAGCCAGTCATTTTATAATGTGGACACAGCTGATGCCTGGGTCACCAAGCTCACATCCAGAGAGTCTGCCAGCACTATCTCACAATCCCCTAGGCCTGTGTCCCCCAACCCTTCTACCCCAAACTTACCACTTGATTCCCAGGAACCGGAAGCACTCTCCTGGTTCAAACACAACTCTCTGTGTTTAACCCTTCCTTTCCATGCAGACTGCTCAACTGTAAACACCGTTAATCTACTGTGTGTTAGCTATGTCCATCACTAAGAAGAAACCCTACATCAAGCACATTGCTAGCTGACCAGAGGAACACAACCAGATTCTGGTAAAACTGCAGTGGAAGGAGAACAAGACATTTGACTTCACCAGAACACAAGAAATGATCATGGGTACAAAAGTATCTTGGAAAACCTGGAAGCATTGGGGAACCACCAGCATGTGATCAATACCAGGAGCAAGTTAAGCAACTGAAGACCATTTATTGCCAAACCACGGGTGCTAACCACACCTCAGAGCACTCCCATCAGTATCCCCTACCTCTTCTACAAGCAATCAGGTTGGCTGCTGGGAACTGTGCCAAGCAAAGAGCTCACAGTGCTGCATGACAATTTCCTGAGCAGGGATGGCTGATAAGAAGTAGTGTTGTTCCATGAACAGGGGACAGGACTGGGACTCAGGAGACCTGGATTCTATTCTCACCTCTGCTACTGACCTGCTGGGTGATTTGGGAAAGTCACTAAATTTCTCTGTGCCCATTTCCCCTACAACTTTTAGTCTGTCTTGTCTAATTAATTAACTATTAATTAATTAAACTATTTAGACTGTAGACTCTCTGGGGCAGGGATTGTTACTTATTGTGTATATGTACAGGGCTAACACACTGGAGTCCTGATCCTGACAATGCCCTCTAGGCACTACTGCACTACATATAATGAATAACAAAAAAATTTAAGTTACTTTTTGGTTTTTTTGTATGGTCTAAAAAGATGCAAGGACTATGAGATGCTGCCTCTATTCATTAAATAAATATTGTAATGTTAAAATAAATCTGCTGAAGGATTAGATACAGGAATTTTTATTAGGTTTTACATTAGTATGTGACATTAAAAAACTTCAATAATAACTGGGTTGGTAAGTGAGAACTGTCTTATTCACAGGTCAGCGAGCAGGTTCAAATCTTGAGAATGTATGGAATAATTCAGCCTAACAAGACAACTGTTGTTTCCTGAGACCAATTCCATTTGAGCTACAGAACACTTAACATATTGAACAGCTTAATTACTAATAATGAATGAAATACAGCTCTCTAATCACTGTTCAGATGAAGATAAATTAAACAAGGAAGAAAGGCTAGGGACAGGCAATTTTTACAAAGAGCAACAGGAAAAGTCTGACACTAGAAAAGAGAAAGGGCATAATAGTGATAAACACTGGGTAGTACAAACTCTTATTTAAAAAGACATTAACTTTGTACATAATCAGTGCAGGGACAATCCAAAATGCCTGTAACACTGGAGAGGGGAAGGGGAATACAGCTACAGGGATTTAAGCAGGTTGTTACTTGCTTCTGCCAACAGAGAAGCAGAACTATGAAGTTGCTTCCCAAATGAAGGACTAAGTCAGTGTACGTGTGTGAAAGAGACTGTGGCCTCATCTTTACCCTGGAAAGACACCAAATTCCTACAGTCCAGATTTAAACCATTGGTTTTATTTTCTTTTTCTTTCATTTTGTTCCAGTCTCTGCTGATGCTATTTTTGAACAAGGCCATACACATATGCCCAGGACTGGAAGACGAAGCAGCACACAGTATGCTGCAATACTCTTTCTTTATTCTTTGTGACGGTAGCTAGTAGGCCAAGAAGTATAGTCCTCCATTTACTGCCATGGATTTTCTCTCTCTTTCAAAGTTGTATTAAGAGGCTACTTGAAATCTCTTCCTGGAAGTGGATGGATTTCTTTGAAAGGATTTGGAGTAATTTTGTGAGCCTGAAAATACAAAACATTATTTGGTAAGTGTACCATAACCAAAAGTCACACCAATCCTGTATTTGGGTTGCTTCTGTAGGCCTCCTTTAGAAGAACATTTATTAGCTTTATTGTATTCTCACACGTCACCTTTTTTTATCCACGTAGTTCTTTTGGTTTGTATTAGTTTCTCTGCACAATGCTCTAACTAAAGAATTATCCAAAACTCAGGAAAACCTACAATTCTCAGAAATGAGAATGGACACACAATGTGTGGAATGGCAGACTTTCATTGGCTGAATGGAACCTAACATAAAAAGTACTGCTTTATCCCAGAAGTTAGAGAGCCCCATATGAATACTGAATTCCACATCCAGTACCTGCTTGTTTTGCTGGTACAGCAAAGGAAAGACCTTAGCTGAAATCCAACAATGATTTAATTTAATTTAAGATTTGATTTAAAGAACATTATAAACAAAAAATTTCCATTTTCTTTTTCACATTAAAATTACTTGTTTATGTTGAATACACTAATAATGAATGAGGGACTTGTACACTTCGTAGCTCATGTAAGCCAAGCTTATCGCACACATCAGGGGCTCCTTGCATCCCTCCATTTCCCCCCACCCCCAGCTTCTTATGTGTCACCGTACCATCCCCCTCTTTTTCAGGGACTCCCTGCAACTCCCCCCCAATCTCCTCGCTGTCAGGGGTTCTGTGTGCCCCCAATTTCCCTTTCCTCCCATGTAAGGGCCAACCCTTTCTGCCCGCTAATGCCAGTGGCTCTGTGTCTCCTTATTCCCATTTCATCCCATGCACTCCTCCCCCCATCTCCCTATGCCAAAGGGTTTGTCTCCCTCCTTCCCCCCATGCAAGGGGCTTCCAAATATCCCCCCACACCAGGTTTCCCCCACTCTCCCCATCCCCCTTGGCAGGGACTCTGCTTGCAAATCTTTCACCTTTTCCCCCATGCCACCCATACCAATTGCCACCCATTCCCTCTCTTGCCCGATACCAGGGTCCCCTATTCTCCCCTGAGTGGCAGGGGCTCCGTGTGAACACCCACATTCCCCACACCATTATTATCTGTCTGGGTGATAAGTCATTCACGTGTCAATGTGTCAAACTCTCTTGGGAGGATGAGCAGGAGTACTGTGATGCGGGAAGGTACCAATGGGCGCCATCAACCAGATGTTTGATCTACAGACAACTGCAGAGGTGCTTGAAGCTGTGTCTGTACTAGGCAAATGGCAGTGCCCCCACTTCCTCCCTTTCAGTGTTTTCCCCCCAAAAAAACAATAGGGTTCTGGCCACTGATGCTTAGAAGGGACCCTGATATTTTGGAATTGATTAGATGCAGTGTTCAAAAGTTTTCTCATTACATAGACAGACAAACAGAGAAATGCCATCAAGTTCGGTGTAAAGCTTTTGCAACCTCAGCCAATGAAAAAGCATAATTATATGGAGTATATTTAGACATTTTATAATCTAGTGTGGAATGTCATGTGCAATACACATCTATGAGTGTCTGAAAAAATTTATAAACAAACACTGCCACTGTTGCCATTTATATGGAACCTACAATGAGGGGGTTGCACACTTCATAGCTTTTGTAGGCCGAGCTTATTATACACACCAGGGGCTCCTTGCAATCCTCCACGCCCCCCCTTCCCACCCCACAAAAGCTCCCTGCATGCTGCCCTCCCATTCCCCTCTATTTCAGGAACTCCACCAATCTTCTCCCTGCCAGGGGCTCTGTGTGCCTCCCCATTTCCCTCTCCACCCATACCAGGGTCCCCATTATCCCCACCATTCCCACTTCTTCCATGCCCTCCTTTCTCCTCTTCCCCCCATGTCAGAGGCTCTGTGTGCTCCACACCAGGTTCCCCCAATTTCCCCCTCACCAGGAGTTCTGTGCAGTACAGCTTTTTTTATATTAATCTTTTGGTTTTGCTTACCTGTTAAAAAGCCTTGACCTGTCCATGTATTGTTAGCAAAATCCATGGGCGTCAATGACCTTTTATGAGGGGTGTCTGACTGTAAAAAGGGGGGAAATATTTTTGTTCATTATGGTCCTTTCACAGATTAAGGATCTGATTGTGACTTTCGCCCCATAGCCTAGCACAGAGGTCAGTGGCGGAGTTGCACTGCTCTAGAAGGAGTATAAGAGAAATTGTGCCTCCACAGGCATCTTTCTTGCATATGGAGGTGGTGCAATCTGCTTCATTCATTAGGATGCAGCAGATCTCTCTTCCCAGCACACTAACCCCACTCTTCAGACCAGTGTAGATAGGGTGCAGGAACGTGGTCCCACCCTCTTTTAGACATCCTGCTCTCTGGAGGGAGTAGGAGTAAGCAGTCCCTGGGCTCCTGAGATCACAAGGTCTGCTACTGTGGGAGGCTGTTTTGCAGTCATATAAAGGTGGTGGTGGCAGCGGCGGGGAGGCAGGTGTCCTGCATCTCTCTCTGCCCCAGCCTTCCACAGATGTCTGGCCCAACATCTCTAATCACACAAAAACCCACCCTGAATGTGTGAGTTGTGTTGGGTCTTGAAAACTGATCAATAATGACAGTTCGTTCTCTAAGTGGTCGTCGCTCTGTACTGTCAGGTACTGCGCTTGACACTCTACTATGAGGATATCGCCCTCTATGCTGAAAGAGAAAAAGAAAATTGAGCATTGAAATAAATGCAAATATTGGCATGGCGAAAATAAGAATCCTTTTGACCTTCGCTTAAATTAAAAGAAAAAAAAAGCAAAGAGCTAATTCTCCACTAAGTAAAAGGCTCAAGTTAAGAGTTTTTAAAATTACTAGGTTGGGCTTTTCAATTGGATTTCAAGTGTCTAAAAATTAAGGTAACATGTTTTATAGAGAGTAGGAGGGGGTAAGTGTAATTGCAAGAGGTTCTATTTAAGACTAAGAATGATAGCTGTGTTAATAGCATGTGTCTATGTCTCATGTTCTACATAATTTGAGAGGGTTATGCTAGACCCTACTGTACCTATGATAAAAGATGGCTAGGAGAGTCTCCCACCTCCCAAGTGAGTCCTCTAACCACTGGGTTTTTAGTAGAAGGAGTGGGGGTGCAGGACCACCACTTTTCATGAGAAAGGACTGCCTTGGCTACAACTAATTCCAGGAAAGAGGTTACAGCTAGGAATCCTGAGCAGAGGGAAGCACCTCCCTCCCAGCACAGAGTTAGGCACCTAGCATCCTTTGAGGGGCAGCGCTTAGACCTCACCCCTCTCCTCAACATTTCTACTGGCTAGGTTATGCAGCTCCTGCTCAGTTTGCTGGCTTCTGTGAATCCTTTTTTAGGCATCTAACTCTCTCCATGCGTTGTATAGGGAATCTGGGCACCTAATTGAGGGTTGCAATTTCCACTAGGCGAGAGGATGCCAAGTGCTAGGTGCTGCTACCTCACAATCTTTAACATATCTATCCTCACAACACCCCTGTGAGATAGAGCAGTGCTATTATTTCCATTTTAGAGATGGGGAAGTGAGGCACAGTGAAGCTAAGTGACATGCTCACAGTCACACAGGAAGTCTTTGCCAGAGTAGGGACTTAAACCAGGGTCTTCTAAGTCCTAGGATAGTGCCCCAACTGCTACACCATCCTTCCTCTCATAAAGGAGCATAAAAACATACAAAACCATAAAGGTTATGGGTTTCTTCATGTATGTCCATATTTATAATTTTAAAAATATTGGGAAGTACATTATTCAAACTGAAATAATTTCAAAATTCTAGTTTACTTTTCATCATTTTTCCTTTTCTTGTACTTCATGCTTCTTGGACAATGAAAATGGAACAGTTTCACTTTTATTTATATTCACTTTTAGTCAATTTCATTTTCTACTTCTCACACACTAGCACAATGTAACAAAACACCGCAAGGCAATATATAAATCTAAAACACAAATATAAAATTCATTTATATCTGCTCTTTAGAAATTCAAGAAAAAATTATTTAATTTTAAAAAAATGTCTTTAAAATGACCTACATTTGGGGCCTAAAATACCTCCCAATATCCCTTCAAATGTAACTATAAACTCTCACATATGTTAAGGCCTTGTATCACAATAAAATATGATTGAATGCAATTCTCCCCAAAGTACTAATTTCAACTAGTGATGCAAAGTGGGTTTGGAGAATTTTTTTTGTTTTTATTTTTTTGTTCAAGTTACTGATGTTCTTTAACAATATTAACAAGTACACATCTTACAAAGCCTTGCCGTGATCCAGGTACTGAAAGATACTGTTCAACAGCCTCTGTGTTTATTGGTGGTAACTTGTTCCGGGCTGTATGTACAAGTGGAGAGGACAAGCGATCTAAGGCAGTATACCTGTAGGATTCAGATTAAACAGATTTCATATTCCATCTAATACACCGGGGACAATATTTCTTAATACGTTCAAGTTACTGTAAATAGCAGAACACTTAATGCAGCGGCAGCTCTCAGAACAATGCTTTATGTATGCTTCATTTTTCTGTATGAAGTGTAGAATCTTTCAGAAATCTCAGACCTAGTTCCCAAATCTTTTACAATACTTCACTAAGACCTGTAACAATTAATGCTCTTGTTCAAGTTCAGCAAGGTCTTGACCTCAAGGAAGAAGAAAGTGAAACTAAAAACTCACAGTTTAGTTCCCCTAAGGACTTCATCACTGTACACATTAGGAGTCTTTGAACATAGTGGGTCTGAAGTGAGAGACGGTAGCCTACGATGGGTTGGCATTTTCCTAGAAGATGCCAGCAGTACCCGAGATGATGAGAGAATACTGTTATCAGTAATTCGCCCCCGCCGATTCCGCACTGAGTTGAGAACACTGGAGCCTATGCTATGTTGTTTGTCTTCTTGTTCATTCCTAGAGAGAAAACAAAACAAACACACACTTTTTAGAAGAATATAATTGTTACTTATACAAATTAAAACTCAGTCATATCTATTATTAACAGAAAGATGTCTGCATTTTTAATTACATTTTTGAAATCCCAAAGCATATTTTATATGGCCAAAATAACAAAGTACAGCATAAAAAAGTATACTATTTTCATATCAATATTTACTGTATCTTGTCTGCCAAGCCTGCATGCCTCTGTTGGAGTGGTTTAGCTTGAATTGTCATGACGCCATTCAAATCACTATAAAAATTGCTGGAGAAACGGTGAACCTAAAGAGAGCAAAAAAATAAATATATTTAACCTTTCAGTCTCATTACCTTCTTCAAAGCAAGGCTTCAAAACCCCCAAAACTCACATAGTTAGGTCAAAAGATGCTTAAAAACTATGCAAGAGAAATCCCACTTCAGATCATAATGGAACATTTCTCCCCTATATAAGATAAAATGCAAACAAATAAGGGTCAATACTCCACAAAACAAAGCTTGAAAACTAAGACTAACAATATATATTACAAGAAATAATTATTTAATATTATCACTGCAAACATAAGTAATATGTACCCCACTATTTATTTCTATTATAGGCAGAGTTGGCAGCAATGACTATAATTAAGGTTGCTTTTCCATTCCATTGTAAGTAACTGAAAACAGGGCCCTATAACTTTGCCTAAAATTTTTTCTTCAGGCTAATAATTTTTTTTATTATGTGTCCACTTCAGGCTATTATATATAATTTATTTGGTTACTTTTTGAAATGTTTCAGATAAAATGGTTCAGCCATTTCTGAGAATGAGGTTAGTGAAAAATATGTTTTGTTAATATTACAAAATTCTTACAACCACTTTACAGAGAAGCTCTACCATGCTTTGGAGTAGGGACTCAAAAATTTAGCAGAGGAGTCGCTGTGGGGACAGAGAGGTGACTTGAAATGCCCCCATGAAAATCCATCCAAATTTGGCCACATTATAAACCTCTGACCATTGCTGTCTGCACTTGCTTCAGTAAAGGTTTGTTAGAGGATGGCAGCTAAATTCTCAAAATATTACTCAAGCTCAAGGCTGCAGGGGCTGAACAGGACTTTTTTTTGGTTGCAATTTACTCCTGGCTCCTGGGCCACTACAGTACCAAGCACTGGAACTACACTACAGGGGAAATTCGATCTAAGCTACGCAATTTGAGTTACGTGAATAGTGTAACTCAAATTGACGTAGCTTAGATCTACTTATTGCGGGGTCGACACTATGCGATGTCGATGGGAGACGCTCTCGTGTCAACTCCCCCTACTCTTCTCAATCCGGTGGAGTACAGGAGTCAACAGGAGAGTGATCTGCGGTCGATTTAGTGGGTCTTCACTAGTGCACCACCGGTGCATCGATCGCCACTCATTGATCCCCTGTTAAGTGTAGACAAGCCCTAAGAGCAGAGAGGCTGTCTCTCCTATGTTCTCAAAGCTCCCCCTGTGGCCGCCTAGGAAGCATGGAGGAGAAGAAGAAAGCTGCTTGAATGCAGGGGCAGGAGCAGGGACATGCTGGATGGAATAGGGATAGGCTATGGGAAACAGAAGCATAGGGGACAGAGTCAGAAAGGGACAGGCTAGAGGAAAGAGGCAGAAGAGTATGTAACTGCTAGAGCATACTCACCTCCAGAAACTCAAATAGAACCCAAGATTCCCAAGTTCCAACATTGAGGCAGACTCTGAACAAGTCTCTTTGTCCACCAACCCATAATGCAGTGGGGAGCAGAGAGAGAAGAGGACCAACTAAGACAATCTGATGTTAGGGGTTTCGAATGAGGGGAGTTAGGCTGGAACTTCACATGCACCTTGCAGGGAAGAGTTCTTTCATGGTTCTATTGAAAGGGAAGGGTTGTCTCTCAATATAAAGGGTATGATTTTCTGGGAGTGAATAGGAAATATTGCTATCTGTTTTTATAGCACCTAACACAATAAGGTCTCAATTCTAATTGGGGTCCAAATAAAAAGTGGTTATAACAATGATGTAGACTTGTGTTTTTTAAAAAACCAAACTCAAAGGTGGAAAGTCAAACTAAATACCTTAAATATGCATAATCAATAAAATGGAAACTTTTCTGATCTAAGTTAGAAAAGGCCTAGGCCAACTGAAAACAGAATTCTGTTTTGTGGAACAATATTTTACCTGAGATGGAACAAAATGCGAACCAAAAGATGTGCTTCGTGCCTCAGAGCCTCTTGATGGGGGGACACTTGCTGTATCTGCTGTAATACGGGAGACTAGTAGATGTGGCAATTTACTTGTAATAGCTTTCAATTTCTCCACCTGCTTATCATTCTCTGCACCAGTGTAGAATATACAAGTGATTAAGAAACAAAATTTTCTGCAGTTATACAAACTGATGATGGTAGGAAAATATCAGTGACTCAGATTTGACATATTATCTGCTAGATAAACAGTATTCAACATTTATTATAAATGTTATGACATTTTGTCTTAGATTAGTTTTAATTTAAATCTTTATGACATTTAAAAATAAACTAGTTGTCAGATTAAAAGCATTTATTTCTAAAAACATTTTCAAAATGACTGTATTTTCTCTGTCCGTGATAAATCAGTTGGGCCATGTATGTGGAAGAAATGTAATTTGTTTTTATTTTTTAGAAAATACTGGTAAAACAGCTGAACATTATTGAAACATTCTCATGTAAGGTGTGTTAGAAACAGAAAAACGTATGAACAGAAGCAACCAAATGTCCTCTTAGTCCATTCCTGCCTGCCGAAAGCTGTATTGCTACTCTTTCAGTGAGTATAAGCCATTATTTCTATCATACCCTTAAATTTCTCAATGGTCCTAGCCCACATACTTTGCTTAGCAGCCTATTCTACACATGTGGATGTCCTTCTTAGAGGAAAAGGTAGCAAACCTAAATCTCCTCCTCTTTAATTCATAATATTGAGCTAAACAATTCACTTGAGGCCTGAACAATTCTTGTGTAGTCTGGCAATAACACATGCAACACTCAGTTCTACCAGCATAGAATACTGCAAATATTTAACTTCTTCTACTTAGACCGTGTCTACACTACAGGGGCTCTAGTGGCATAGTTACAGCACTGTAGCTATGCCAGCATAACTCCATAGTGTAGACACAGCTTAGAGCAATGGAATGGGTTTCTACATTGCTTAGGGAGGAGATATTCCTCCTGAAATAGTAACTAGGTCAACAGAAGCATTCTTCTGTCAACCTAGCTGTGTCTATGCCAGTGGTTAGGTTGCATAGCTACACCACTCAGGGCTGTGAATATTTAAGTGTAGACCAGCTATAGTTTTAAAATGAATTTGAAGTTGATTATTTTACTAGTTTCCATTGATATATTTTTCCTTTTTATTTAAGATTGATTTTATGTATGTTTTTCTGGCATTGTTTCTTCAGTTAATATACATTTTAAGAAACAATGCAGAGCCCATTAGCTTCTAAAGGAAACCCCATGCACATGCCAAAGCACAAAATTTCACCAAGAGTTAGTTCTTTACCTTCTGCTTTTCTGTGCAATAGTCTGTTAAAAACACCAGGAAGAATTAAATTTAATCACAGTGAACTATATTCTTTCATCCTGTGTTAATCTCTGCATAACCCACAGTCAGCGTGGCTCTCTCTCCCCCTCTAGTGGCTGAACCACACAAAGTTTGATGAGTCTATACTGTGATTTTGCTAACAAACTCGGGTCTTTTAGCATAAACACTAGATGCTAATGCTTTTAGATACCCAGGCCCCAGATTCAATCTCTACTGCTGAAGAGCTTCCAAGGGGCATCATGTTACATATTGCACCAAGGATCTCTTTGCGTCTACTTGCACTGAAGCACTTCTTGTGAGAGACCTCCTCTCTTTATGGGCCTGATCCAAAGCCCACTGAAATCAGTAAGAATCTTTTCATTGGATGTGCATGCATTTTATAAAGTGCCATGTAAACACACAGTGATATTTAAGAAGACGAATAAAGATTTTGCTAAGCCATATTTAATTAATATTAAATTACTGTTCCAAGTACAATTCTATAAGTGCCATCTACAAAAACTCTGAGTACCTGTGATAGCAGTTTCCCAGTTTTTTCTAATCAGCTCCTCCAATATTTCAACTATATTGCTCCAGACACCATCAAACACTTCAGCAGCCACTGCATCTTTGATACAGGCATTGGGAGAAACAGGAGGAATGCCACGTTTATTCCTCTTTCGAGCAAGCTGGGCTTTCTTTTGTTCCAAACTCTCATCATCACTAATGATTGAAGCAAATTCAGCTTTATTACCAAGTTCTACATGTTTTTGTTAACAAAAACAGTTAATCTAACATACTTTCTTATGGATCCGGAAAAGCATAAAATAGATTTATATTTAAAAGATCAAGTTTCATATTATACATGATCCAAGTTCTGTCGGAAGAAAACAGAACTGCTCCAAACTGAAATTATGAATTGGTTTTACTTTGTTTTTTTTGCCTCTTGCTGATTGAATGGTGGTGGTAGCAACATGAAAAATTAAACTGGGACATTATAGCAAGAAGTTTTTGAGGCTCTTGATATAGCAGCCATAGACATAGATAGTATTGCAGGAATGAGACAAAACTGATGGACTTGGGCATTTGGGGCTAGAATCCCACACCCCCTTACCTCACCACCACCTAAGGAAAATACCATTCCACCAGCTTTGAAGGGGGGAATATTATGTAGAGTAGATTCTTAGCTCCACATCCTGCTCATCCAGACACATTTGCCATGACCATGTGGAGTGACTTGGAGGGATTTCTGCAGTTTTGCAGGAGCAGGGAACCATGAAACCTCATGTGCCACACCACCCTTCCATTATTATATGGACATTTTCACCCCTCTTTATTTCTCTCTCTTCCTCTCTGGACTGGGGAACAGGTGTATCACAGAACCCTTACTCACTGCCTCATGATACACTTAGTATGAAAAGAGCTTTCTGGAACTAAATTTTATTCTATGCTTGTTCTAACATTAACTATATCATATTACAATTTAACAAAATGAAAAAAAAAAAGATATTAAAAACAACCTCTATAATCTCAATTCAGAAAGGCCTCATCCTTGGCTGCATTCTAGATGTGCCAGTGGAAAGTGACGCTAAAGATGGTGTAGCTGGCCCCAGAAGGATCAAACTAGTTCAGGAACAGGGGATCCTCTCTTGTGCAGAGGGCACAATGGTTCCTTTACCATAACTTCCCAACCCTACAGCCAGCGCTGGGGATGTGGTTTCCCTGCACTCTCACAACCCTCTTCAGGCTGCTTTAACTTATGCTGGGGGACACATAGGTAGCCGAGGGTTGGGGGGAACAGAGAGGGGGCTTAAAATCACTTTTGCATCCCCCCTTTTTGAGCTATACGGTGTACTTCTGAACCACAGCTGAGAGTGAGGACTAAGGAATTTTCTAAATTAATTGGAAGTAGGTTTAGAGAAAAGCAAAGCACAGGTTTTAAGCAATTTCATGATAGTTTCTCATTATATTCTTCAAAAAATATATAATTTATTTACAGCTCCTTGTTGTCAAAAGCAAGATACTCTTCAATTTTTCCATCCACCTCATAGATTTCTTCTTCCAGGAATGAATACTCAGATGAGTCAGAAACAGAAATCCTTGGGGAACCACAGTCTAATGATTTGTGTACTGGGGATGCTATTGGAACTAGTTTAGAACCCGAAATGCACAGCCTGAAACAAAAGAATTAGAATTAAATATACATGGAAAGAAGTGTAAATAGGCAGCTGCTGCATTATACTAAGGTGTTTTAAGGTTATTAAAATTATATGCGTATCAACTTATGAAAAGATATGATAGATCAAAGTGAAGTGCTTTTGACTAAGTACATTTTATTTCCACTACACAAAGACAATATACTGAAATGATATTCTAATAAGGTCTTAAAAGCCCACAGTACAATTGCTGCACAATCAAGGAAAGTCTTTGATATAGCATACAAACTTTTCACTTATTTGATCATCTATAAGAGATAATGTTTATGTATTTGTGACTGAGGTTTTTTTATGTTAATGTGGCTACAGTTTAGTTGCTGTAAATATTAGGAATATATGAAAAAAAATGTAATGTCAATAGAAATGCTTAAAAAGTAACATATAAGAAAATGTTAACATACTCTTTTGTGTTGCTAGTGCTTTCACAGAGGCCAAGTAAAGATTTGGTGTACACCGAGCAAGTCGTTCTGCTCTGAAAATGCTGAAAGCCTTCATCTCTAGGAAAAAGGAGCTGTTTTCCTAAAATCCTGCAAAATATAAAATGTGAAGTAGTTACACGTAATCAAATCTGAATAACAGGAAGTGCACAATGTGAAAAACACAGACACATGTAATACAAACAAACAAACAAACAGGTAGAAATAATTTAATAATAGCTCCCATACATTTATTCTGAGTAATTAATGGATATAAGGGGCCAGATCCTCAGATAATGTAAAGTGGTGTAGCTGCACTGATGCCAGTAGAGATATGCTAATTTAAACCAGTTGAGGATCTGGCCTATACGCTTTAAAAATAGCCAGACATTTAATGAAAGGACAACAGATAACACCCACACTAGCTAAATGAACTATGTTATAAAAAGTTGATTTGCATACAGAACATAAAACTCTCTCTCATATCAATAGTCCATCAGATAACATAGAAAGAGAAAATTTTAAAATAGATGGAGAACACGATCCCAATAGGGTTACTTTAACATCACTCTGCACAACTCTAGTAACACAAAAGTGACCTCCATGGGGACAAAGGATCTGACCCAAAATGTTTATAAAGGTGGCTGCTAATGTACGTTATTGAAATTGAGTCCAGATAAGGCTTCAATGTGTAGGTTGTAATTGGGGGGGAAAGTTTATTTTTCTTTTAATGTATACACAATCACTTTGTGAAATAGAAAATTTCAGATCATTATTTATCTGAGTAATGCTCATTACTTATTGCATTGCTTTCCACTAAACATTTGCAAGGGCTCTTGAGGGGAGTCTACAGGTAATAAGCAGGAACTTGTATATTTCAATCTGAGATTCTCAGGTTCTTTCAAATACTTGGAAACTTTTCCATGAGAAACTCCTACTTTTTCACTGAATGGCACTGTAAATAAGAAAGTTCTGAGTCATGTTCATTAGTCACTAACTCATTAATCATTAAAAATTCTCTACTTTATAAACTGACTCAGTAAGAAAAGGCCTTTTCTTTTAATAGGTTTGATCCCATGCCTATTGAAATCAAAAGTCTGAGCAACTAAATATGTTTTTACCTGTTCAAATGGAGACCAGTATGACTTACCTATTTTACAGAAAATGGAAGGACTGATTGTGAACCTCTTACTCACATTGGGAAACAATTACTCACAGCAGCAGTACCACTAGAGTCAATGGAGAAACTCCAGTAATTGCTCAACAATGTGAGTAAAGGTGTTCACAATCTAGCCCTGACTAAGAACTAAGGGGTGTTTTTTTAACCTCAGAGTTAATTATTTTTGTACATGGCACACCATGCATTTTTCAATATCAGGTGGTACAAAATTACCTAAAATAAACTCGCTTAGCACCTGTATTCAGCACTGGAATGTTCACATAACTTCTCGTACCTGGAAATATTTCTTCTAGAGCTGACATTCATGTCAGACAGCCTTTTTCTATATCACTAGAATTTTTCCATACCTTTCCAGTAATTCATAGATTCCAAGGCCAGAAGAGATCACTGTGATTATCTAGTCTGATCTCCTGTATTACACAGGCCATAGAACGTCCACAAAATAATTCCTAGAGCAGATATTTGAGAAAAACATCCAAACTTGATTTAAAAAATGATCTGTGTGTGTGGAGGGGAGATATAGCTCTGAAAAATCTACATGACAGGATTTGCAAGAATGTTCCACTCAAGGGACAAGGACAAGGGGATATGAACTTGGAAGCCCAAAGATCCACAGAGAATTGAAGGGCCAATGCAATGGACTCTCAAGAATCTAAAACGACAGTGCTGTGTGGCTCTCTTGCTAACACCTCCCCTAGTAGGATGGCTCCTTCAGAAATCATGTGGCTATAGTGCTAGAACTGTGCAATATTCCTCATTTGACAGGGTAGAAGGTTGCAGAGGCAAAGTTAATGTTGGTTCACTCATTAACTTGTACACATTTCCAAGCAGAAATCTACCAAGTTCCCAAGGGAGCCAGTCACTCAGAACAACTCCTTCCAACCTCCATCCCCAGTCCTGACAAACACTTGCAATCCTTAACAAGAGGCTTTGGCAGATGACTGGAAAAGAAATGGAGCATACAGAAACAACCCAGACTAGAGAAGAACATGAGGAGCATTGTATCAAGCTTTCTTTTCTACTATACTCATCTTTTTTCAAAATAACTTAATAAAATAGTTAATGACACTCACATTCCATATCTAGTCTACCCAGTGTTGTTGTAGCTATGTCGGTCCCAGGATATTAGAGAAACAGAGTGGGTGAGGTAATATCTTTTATTGAACCAACTTGTCCCTCTCACGAACAAAAGTTGATCCAATAAAAGATATTACCTCATCCATCTTGTCTCTCTACTATCTAGTCAAAAATCTTTAAATTAAGTTAATATATTTCCCTCCTGAATCATGTACCATAGACAGGTTCAATCTACCTATTTCCTGGAGCTCATTAATAAGTTCCATTTACTTTTTACCATCATTATCAGAGCTAAGCCAGGAAATCATAAGTACCCAACTTTCATATGAAATCTAGTCCAGTGAAAATACTGTAAAAATGTAATCAGCTGAGAATGAATATATTGAATTAGCTACACTTCTACACAACAGCAGGATTTCTGCATATCCTGTGAATTGTTATAGCATTTAAAGAAAGGAACGATTTTGTATAACAATATGGAAATGTTGCTTCAAGTTTATATATTTAACATTTCCTGATTCACATAAAGGGTTGTAGTATTTATTAGTTATTATTATTGTCAACCTTAACAACACATTCTAAATCTTTTTTCATTGACATTTGGTAATTATGATTCTCTGGAATCTTAAAACTAAAATCCTTTTGAAGATTAAGGGCTAGATTGTCCAGATACACATAGGCTCACATTAGAATGGTATGGAGCCACCCTAAGACAGTAAGAGTGTGCATATGTGCGCACACAAAGCAGTACCACTTTAATGGTGTTGTGTGACCCTCTGAGCACATAACAGGGCATCGTCCCATGGCTAATTCTCTTCCCTGCCCTTGTTGGGTGGTTTGCTGTGCTAGGGATCGAAGGAAAGAGCAGTCCCTGTGTTCCGCGGGCACCTTGCACCACCATGAAAGAGCCAAGGACACTTGCTCCCTAAGTACATATCTCTCCATTTATAGAACTACTTACTGCTTTGCTAACATTTCATTTTGGTTCATACTGGTTTACATGACCCAGGATGGTGACATCACCATGGCCAAACACTGTTCCTGCAGCTTATGGACACTCTTTTCTCACTACTCCTAAAGAAGACAGCATTCAAAGGGCAGAATTGACAGCATGAGTGTCTTTGTATTGACTTCAAGGCAGTTAGGATTTTGCTGCATGTCTTCACTGAGGTTAGTTTTTATAAATATAGTATTAATTGCACTATTAGATGTATTCTGTAAATATTAAAAGTCACTACTGAAATATGTTTCTTCTTTTCTCATATTAATTTTCACACACATGACTATTCTCATGATACTGCATTAATATAAAACCTTTTGCAATGATTACATTACTTAGGATGAATATCATGAGCAGGTAGAGCACTGAGAGCCCATGCATGGCCAAGGACTAACACACAGTTTGACCACTGAACTGCAGATGAATTTGAACACAATTCTGAAAATAATACTACAAATATAAGCCAATAAGAACAGCTCAGATTGAGATTCCTAGAAAATAAATAAATTAATCAAACAAAATTCTGATAGCTTAGAACCAATTCTAGTAAGCAATTCCCTTACCTCAGATGAAGAGACCGTTTGGTCCATTCTTTACATTCTGCCTGCAGACTCTGGGTTTGAGAACTCACTTTTCCTTCAAACAACATTTCATCCACATCCCAGAATGACTGATGCACTCTTTGTGTATTAGCTTTGTCAAATTCCTACAAATTATAAGACTATATTTAGGAAATACATTTAAAATGAGAACCATATCAAATATACAACCTTTTTACATTTTTTATTTTTAGTCACTGGAGATACAGTTGAGTTAACAAATGACCTAGTTACTAATTTGGTTTTCTTTACTACTATAGCAGCTGTCCTGCACTGGAAAAAAGTAACTTTTCGATCACAAGTCATGTGCTATATGACAATTCAAAAACTTAGTTTTCTGTAAAACAGTTTGATCTTTCATCAATAAATTAGATAAAAAGTACTATTAATAAAAATTTCTGTGACATACATCATCCCTCCAAGAGTAAATTGAGCTTCTTTCAGTGGACAAGCCAGTAGTATAGCTTTGTATTCCAGACCAAGAATTATTCAAGTCTGTTGGTGTTATAGGACTGCTAGAAGACAGTGACGAAACAGTTTCACTGTGGAAAGAAACAAAATAATAATAATCAAATATATTTTACACAAACATACTAAAAGTAACATTGCACATATTCATACCATATATATGGTAGTGATGTATGCCTGTGTGTGACACATGTGACTTTCAGAACATGCTGTGAAATCCATCTGTTAGATAAGGTGATGAGATGGGTATTGGCTTTTAGGCAGAGTGGGATGGATGTATGCTGCAATCATACCTATCATCCAAAGGCTGATAGGTAGGGCCCTACCAAATTCACAGACCATTTTGATCAGATTCACGGTCATAGGAATTTAAAAATCGCTAATTTCATGATTTCAGCTATTTAAATCTAAAATTTCATGGTGTTGTAATTTTAGGGGTCCTGACACAAAAAGGAGTTGGGGGGGGAGGGAGGGTTTGCGGTATGGCTGCCCTTACTTTTGCATTGCTGCTGGTGGCAGCGCTGCCTTCAGAGCTGGGCAGCTGGAGAGCGATGTCTGCTGGCCACGAGCCCAGCTCTGGAGGCAGAACCGCCTCCCGCAGCAGTGCAGAAGTAAGGATGGCATGGCATAGTATTGCCACCTTTCCTTCTGCGCTGCTGCTGTAGAGCTGGCCCCTCAGTCAGCAGCTGCTGCTCTCCAGCCACACAGCTCTGAAGGCAGCACAGAAGTAAGTAAGGGTGGCAATACCGCGACCGCCCTAAAATAACCCTGTGACACCCCTGCAACTCTCTTTTGGATCAGGACCCCCAATTTGAGAAACTGTGGTCTCCCTCGTGAAATCTGCACAGGATAGGGTAAAAGCACACAAAAGACCAGATTTCACATGGGGAGACCACATTTCACGGTCCATGATGTGTTTTTCATGGCTGTTAATTTGGTAGGGCTCTATTGATAGGTTAACTTTTCTACCATATTACACTGCTGGGTGATTATCATTTTAACTATTACCAGGACACCCAGAACATGTGTATAGGCATTTACTTTACACATGCACCCATGTACATGCATACATCCTCAATATGTGAAAGGTGCTGAAAGAATGTGTCCCCTTCTGCACAGTAAAGTCAGTGCAGCCAAAACTGTACAAGTTATAGACAAGTAAACCTTTCGAAATCTATTAGAAACTGCATTATTTCTTATAGTAAAGTGTTTAAAACTATAAAAGTTTCAATTAGTATTGCTTTATTATATTTACTGCTATGGATTATATTTTACACATACAGAGAGTGGGCTTGTGATGGTTTGGGCCCTTTGGGGTGTCACCTGATGTGTTGCGGTGCCAGAGTCAGCCTATTCTGCCAGCCTGGGTCCCCTTTACCTGGCCTTGCCGGGCTAGGCTCACAAGCCTCTTCCAGGCAAACACACAGGCAGGGCGACACCCAGCTGCATAGAGAGACAGAGATCCGTTCTGCTGCACACTCCCTTTAAGGGGTACAAACCCAAAGGTTTTATGAAATCCGCTCCCCCCCTCAATGTGGAGGGAGATATGCACAACTTCTTGCCCAACCCCCAGTTAGCAATTACATAAACTGGGTTATATTATAAGCAAGAAATAAGTTTATTAACTATGAAAGGTGAATTTTAAGTGAATATAAGAGATAACAGACAGAACAAAGCAGATTACTGATCAAATAAAACAAAGTACACAAGCGACGCTCAATATACTTAAGAAACATTACAAAATGTAAATTCTCACACTAAATGTTATTTTAGGCAGGTTGCAAAGTTTCTGTGGTTCAGAGTTCCAGTTATATTTCCTTTTCAGACTGGACCCCGTCTTAGTCTGGACTCCCCCTTGCCTTCCCTTCAGGTGGCTTTAGCAGTCTTTCTTCTTGGGCAGATAGGCCATGGAGAGGAGGAGACTCATTTGCCTTCCTCCCCACCCTTAAATAGGATTTACATAAGGCAGGAATCCTTTGTTTCCCAAACTGACTCCGCTTCCCTTCCAATGGAAAGTTACAAGAGGTCCCAGGTAATGTTTAGTATCAAGTGACAAGACCAGCTGACTCTGTAGTATTACAGTGTCCATGAGTCAGTGGCAGTATGGATTGTCCGCAAGAAGGCCAATCCTTTTCACAGTCCACTGTCCTCGCTGATGGGTCATCCACCCTGTCTGGCTTTTTCATTGTTGTACCTGAAGTGTTAGCAATGGGCGTCACCCAAAGTAGCATAGTTGAAATACAGATACATAGTCAATATTCCTAACTTCAGATACAGAAATGATACGGGCATACAAATTGAATAATCACATTCAGTAAATCATAACCTTTCCAATGACACCGTACAAGACCCATCTTGCATAAAGTACATCTCAGTTATGTCATTCATATCATAAGCATATTTTCATAAAGAATATGGAGTGAAACATCATACCTTCCCCAAGAGATTATTGCCAGAGGATTGGTCGCTGACCAATACGGAGGCAGTATGCCTAAAATCCCTTTTTGGCTTTGGTGATACAACCTCCAAGTGTTATCAAACACTGTAATGTTATCTATATGTGGTTTTGCAAAGTCCTGGGTTTCTGTTCCCAGGTTGCCTGAAAACATTTTGGTGTGTAGCATTGCAAAAATAAGCAGATATCAATATCTTCTAAAGTGTTGGTGTCTTGGCATTTAGCCACCAATGCCATGAGGCGGTGTGCCTCAGTTTCCCCTTTCACACAGCATTCTAGATTAGTTATGCCTTTTCTGCTGTGCCCAGCTCTAAGCCTGTTTACAGGTACTAGCTGAGAAGCAGTATTGTTATAGGACTTTCTTGTTACCACTCCCAGTCCGTACCAAAGACTCTTCCAAAAATCATGCATGTTACACATTTTTAAAGTATTTACCACCTGTATCAAATTCTTTGTCTTGACCCACAGTGTGTGTAGTAAGAGACATAAAATTACCAGCAAATTCATGACAGAGAGGCACTTCCAAGTAGGATTATCATACCACGCCCACAGTCTAAACAGATCACTTTGTTTAGCATTCATTGTATTTCTCATCCCCTCAGTAAAGGTTCTTAGTTTAGGTATGTCTTTGACGTTTTGGCAAGGAAAGGGTGTATGGGGACCTTGTATGTTACTGGCCCACCCCCTGTGAAGTCGCATTTCCTCTCCAGGGTTAAGCCCATGCAAAGAATCCACCCCCACCCCAACCTCCCCGGGATTCCTTTGAGTTGCCCACCCCCATCACTCAGTGTCTAATGCTTAGCTGTGGGGAGGGGTTTACCTGCCTGGAAGTGGCTGTCTCTGCTCTTTCCTCAGAATTTGCATATTCACTGACACCAGAATGCTTGGAAGAATCCCCCCAATCCCCCGCATTAAAGGGACAGAGTTAGTTTTTACAAGCACAACAGGAAAAACATTTTGCAATAGTGGGACCTGGATTGGGGTACCCTTGGTCACCCCTCTGTCTTTCCCCAGAGGTCATCTGTATGGCTGCTCCCCTCCGAGAGGTCAGTTACACGTTCCCTCTTAAAACCTGAGCCACAGGTGAGGTGCCTGGGAGTGCAGATGCAGATCCAGCAAATTTCTCCTGGGCAAACCCTTCCCTGTAATAAGTGGGGGGACACTCCTATACTCCCCCACATTCCTTCTTAACTCCTTGCCGCCCCCCCCGCCCAAGGCACACACCCCTGTGTTCCTCAGAGTGGCATCTGCCCCGTTCAGCCATGGGCTCAGAGCTAACAGTCAGAACAGACCCTTTACTGCTAAGCATTATGCCCTCCTCCTTCCTTGAATTGGGTTGCCTTCAGTTACAGAGCCCATGGAAACCTTAAACATGGCAGCGGTCTCCAGTATTTCCCCCCCTTTCTCTGGGCTTTCTTCTAGGACACATTTTCCTATGCATTTTAGAGTGAGTTCTGTTTCTTGCTTAACTGCCACTTCCTGGCAGCCAGCAACCTGGACAGACTCCCTACTATCAGACAAAATATTCCCATCCCCCGAGGAGATAGCCACAGGACAGGAGCTCACTTTACCCACTCCCACCTTTGGTAGAAAATTGTTTTGCAGGGCAGTAGAGGAATTAAAGAGACTCTCTCTCATTTCCTCAGCAGTTTCTGTAGTCTTGCTCCTTCCCACTGGAGCTTCAGCATAAGATTTCTCCTTGCTGTTGACACACCCCTGGATAGCCCCAGCCACATTGAAAAAGTCATTTCCCAGAAGAATTTGTGTAGGATTTTGAGTAACCGCAGCCACGGTTAACTCAGCTTGCAAATCCCAGTTTGCAAATCCATGTTCACTTTAGCCAAAGGCACAAAGATTTTGTGACCCCCCTACTAACAACAGGTCTGCCATCTGTCCTGGCAGTATGTCTTTCTCCTGAACCTGGTCTCTCCTGACCCCAGAGATTTCTGCACCAGTATCTCTCCATGCAGGGAGTTCTCTGCCATTTACTTTAAAAGCCTTCATGTGCTTACTGCCTGGATGTGCAGTGGCAACCTTTACAAATCCTGTGTGATGAGTGGTAACTGCCTGAGGTGCCTCTATGCTCTGGATAGCAGCATTTCCATGAGTTGCCTGCTGCCTGTTCCCACTCAGCACAGGGCATATATTCTCCAGGTGCTAAGGGGAATTACAATGATAACACCTTCTGGGCTCTTTTGCTTTCGCAGGAGATTTGGGACGAGGACTGGAGGAGTGAACTTGGGGAGGAGAGTGTCCAGCCTCCCATCCACCCTCCTTCTTCCCAGGGGTAAAATGAGGACTTTACTTCCCACCAAATTTAAACCCCTCTTCCTGTGATTTATTCCTACTAGGTGCTTGGGATTGCTCAAATTTATCAGCATAAACTGCAAGTTCATTGACTGTTTCCATCTTTTTATCCCATAAACACTGTTTTACATCATCACTAGACATATTCAGGAACTGTTCCTGACCAACCAAATCACACATTCCTTCAAAGCTTGTAATATCTTTTCCCCTCAGTAAATCTCTTATTTGGTTCATATAAGACACATTACTTAATCCAGCCACTCTCTTAAAGCTTCTAAATTTTACTCTATAAATTTCAGGTGTAATCTGAAACTGTTCAAAACCAAATCCTTACATTTACTATAATTGGAAGCATCACCCATGGGCATCTTATTGAATATGTCCAGAGCTCTCCCAGTCAATTTTGCAACCATAGTGGTCATCTTTTGATCATCAGGAATCACATGGAGCATACACAGCCTCTCAAAGGTGATGAAATATTCAGCAACATCACCAGATTCACTATATAGTAGACACAATCGCTCCCACTTGTGGATTTTTGGAGAGGTGGCGCCCCCTGCTGTGGGGCTCTGTCTTGTCCACTCCATTACAGCCAGTTCATGCTTCTGATCTTCCCTTTCCCTGTCAGCCTCGAGCTGCCTCAATTCCATGCCCTCTCATGGGCTGCTTTCTGGGCCTCAATTTCTTTGTCTTTCAATTCCAGGACTTGCTTCTGGGCTTCAATTTCTTTGACTTTCATTTCCAGGGCTTGCTTCTGGGCTTCCATAGCCCTTGTGGGCTGCTTTCTCCCCAGCATTTTCTGCTTCTTGTAATTCCAAATGTCTTTTATGCTCTTTCTTGTTTTCTGCTGCCTGAAATCTGCAGAGCTCCAACTTTTTCGTAGCTTCACTTTCACTCATTTTGCTGTTTTTTCCTGTCCCTAATTCTCTTGCCCAAAATAAGCAAACAGAAAACAACAAACCAGTAACCACTTTGTCTGTTCTCTAGTCACCACACTTAAAACTCAATTAAAATCACCACCAGTGTTTCAGGGCAATAATCTGTGCACACTATCCTGCCGACTACGCCACTGTGACGGGTTTGGGCCCTTTGGGGTGCCACCTGATGTGCTGAGGTGCCACCGAGTCAGCTTATTCTGCCAACCTGGGTCCCCTTTACCCTCCTTGACAGGCTAAGCTCACAAGCCGCTTTCAGTCAAGCACCAGGCTTTCTTCTTGGGCAGACAGGCCATGGAGAGGAGGAGTCTCATTTGCCTTCCTCCTCACCCTTAAATAGGATTTACATAAGGCAGGAATCCTTTGTTTCCCAAATTGACTCCCCTTCCCTTCCAATGGAAAGTTACAAGAAGTCCCAGGTAATGTTTAGTATCAGGTGACAAGACCACCTGACTCTGTAGTATTACAGTGTCCATGAGTCAGTGGCAGTATGGATTGTTCGCAGGAAGGCCAAGCCTTTTCACAGTCCATTGTCCTCGCTGATGGGTCATCAGCCCTGTCTGGCTTTTCTATTGTTGTACCTGAAGTGTTAGCAGTGGGCGTCACCCAAAGTAGCATAGTTGAAATACAAATACATATTCCTAACTTCAGATACAGAAATGATACAGGCATACAAATTGGATAATCACATCCAGTAAATCATAACATTTCCAATGACACCTTACAAGACCCATCTTGCATAAAGTACATCTCAGTTATGTCACATTCATATCATAAGCATATTTTCATAAAGAATATGGAGTGAAACATCACAGAGCCAATTGCAAACTTTCAGTTATGGGTTTTTAGTTTGTCAGAAGGCTTTTAAATGACTATACTCTGGATCCTCCAACACTGGAATGCAGTGAAGATCCTGGCAGTCAGCTTTGCAGACCAGACAACTTCTAGGCAGTGGTAGTTGGAGTGAGGACTCTTTAAAGTTAGCTGATCTACAAAAACAGTTAGCTTTCTCTTCACTGAACTCTGAAGTTTGAACCTGGACTCTCCATGCTGGCTGGTGCCTCTTCATTTTGCTCTGAGGTTGTGGAGCCCAGGAGCGTAGTTCAAACTCAGAGATATTTACAGGAGATCTGATTAACAAGAATTTGGGTAAATTAGGGTTATTTGTATTTTATGCAGTACAGAGCCTGTGTGTTTCTGTTCCTAGATTAAATGCTTTGAGATTCAATAATAATAGTTTTATAAAAAAAAAAGAAGAATGTGGGATTATGTTACTCAGCAAGTGGGGGCAGAGGTGGGGAAAGGAAAAATAAACTCTGAGAAGCAAAGAATCATGGTTGTACAAAATATTAAGTACATTGGAGAAAATGAAGACCATAGGAAAATGTTATCAGCCTGAAATGCAGAGAAGACAAACTTTGAGTTAAGCAGACTAATACATAAAAAGGTGAATTTACTTGCTATCTCAGCTAGTTAAACTGCTGCTTCCCTTGCACGGCATAATGTTTATTTGGAAAGTTGAAGTCCACACTTACCACCTGTCATCCATGAAAATGACCTGGAAATGACCAATGAAATCCAAGAAGTAATCTGAAAATAATCACTTGAATTAAGAGATGATGTTTCTTGATCCATTACTCCTGCAGGAAAAGCTTACCGAAAAATGATTGATGACATTCATTTTAACTATGTTAGAGAATGTACTTTAGTGAAAAGAAACCGCACTACATTTGTGTAAAAGCATAGTATTAAATGTAGCCGCTTTTTTCCAAAATAATAAAGCAACCTGTTAATTGTCCAGATTTGCTGTAGACACATTGTAATATCTAGTTATAATGGATTATATTACCATACTTAGCCCATTGTTCTATTATTAATAAGTACTATTTCAAAAGTTAATGCATACCAGGTAAAATTGTCAATGGCGTCCTGCACATTTCTCATAAAAATTGCTGGAAGATCTCCACTCTTCCCTGGGAAACAATGATCTGTAGATCCTTTGGACAGCCCCTTTCTGAAAACACCACAAGAAAACAATATTAATTCTATAGTCTGTACATAATCAAAACTCATGTCTCACAATCAAAAACAAAGGATAGAAACTAACTACTGGTACAGCAGACTACTGTATAGCCAAATGAAAAGAGCGGATCTGATTTAAAAGAGGGTCAGAGCAAATGATTTTCACACTGGAATTGATACTGTAAATTCCAGTCACAAGTGAAAGAAGAGAACTCTGGATTCCTGTACAACACTCAAGAATGTGCACTTATGGTGAGAATGGTAATACAGCGCTGTAAGACAGAATGAATTTACTCCCAAACTGGCAAATAAGAAGGCTTCTGCCTAAGAACTAGTACTATAATCAGGGATCGGAGGGAAGATCCTACAAACCTTTTGCACACAATCATCAGAGTCAATGGGATTATTCGTTTAAAGGACGGGAGGACTGGGTGCCAAGGTAGCAATGAAAAAAAGAAAATAAATTAGCTTTGCATTTAGTCCATTTATAGAAAAAAAGAGTATTATTTTCCATCTTCCTGCAACCTGTTTTTCTTTATGGACTCAAACAACTTATTTGCAGGATCTGGACTGATGACTGTATGATTGCAGAATAAAGCATCTCTCACCACTAGACAGGAACACTGGCTGAAAAGTATCTGGTCTATGAATTCAGAACAATTACTTGAATTTCCGCCTCGGCCAACTCCTTAAAAGTGTTAATTAACAAAAATGTTTGCTCAAACAATTTTAAGATATAGTAAGTCAATTTACAAGAGCTTTCCTGAGAAAAAAAATCGGAGTGTACTTTTAATGGAATTAAAGGCTTATTTTAAGATTGATATTAATCTGTACAGAAATCTACATGTTATTCTTCAAACATTTCTTTACCCTGTATTTTGCAGTTCAGAAACCACAGGAAAAGCACTCATGCAGTATTCCCTCCCGGCACCAGAGGTACTTCAAAAGTACAAAACAGTAATTGTTCAGACAGCACTTAGTTAAATAAATGTTGTTGTTCAATCATTAACCTGCAGCTGGTTTCACTGCCTGTAAAGTCTGCAGGAAAAGAAGTTACAAATATGCTACTAAGTGGAATAGGGCCTTTTCAAAGAGTCTTTAAACAGTCAACTTAACATTTTAATTAGGAAATCTGAGATGCTAGTTAAATATCAAGATGCGTGCACATATCAAAATCTTCATGAGTTGCTAAAGCACCATTACTTCAGTTCTGAAGAAATTTGGATAATTTGCATTAGGGAATAGGCCATAAAATTTTTCATTACTCTGCCCTTTCCAATGTAACAAATGTTAGTACTGATCTTCTGACTCATTTTGATTGCTACTTATAAAATGTAGTTCTATGTCGCCACCCTCAATAACTTAAAAAGTCTATAAACCTTAAACTACATACTTTAAAATACACAGATGAGGAAAACTCTACTGTTGCTTTATTGCTATTTCTATTTCTACTACAATATCTTACTGTGGAGAGAAAAGTTAGTATTTTTTAACTGGAGTAGTTGTTAGTTTACAATCCTAAACGGCTATAATCTAACTCAGTTGTGCAATTAATAAAGTAAACTGATCCGTTTAGAACATACAACACTGAGAACTCCCATATAATAGCTCTAAGGGCTGGTCTACACCCAGCCGCTAGTTCAGCGGCTGGGGATCGAAGTTCCGGGTTCGACTTATCGCGTCTGGTCTGGACGCGATAAGTCGAACCAGGAAGTGCTCGCTGTCGACTGCGGTACTCCAGCTCAGCGAGAGGAGTACCGCGGAGTCGACGGGGAGCCTGCCTGCCGCGTGTGGACCGCGTCTGAACCGCGGTAAGTTCGAACTAAGGTATGTCGAATTCAGCTACGTTATTAACGTAGCTGAATTTGCGTACCTTAGTTCGAATTGGGGGGTTAGTGTGGACCAGGCCTAAGAGTACCCTAACAATCATTAGACTTATGACAATCACCCAGCGACCTTAATGCTAATATACAAATAACATTACACTGCCAGCTAGCAGCCCTAAATAGTCAAATTCATGAAACAATTTACCTCAGCCAGCAGACAATAAAACCAGAAATAGTCCAGAAAAGCCTCTCACCCTTAGATCACATGCAGTAATATAACCTCATCTCTCTCCAAAAACCCTATGAAACACAATACTAATTTTTTTCCAATATTGCCATAATAATATAATCTCAGATAACATCTTAATTTTTGATACTTAGTTTTAGTTAAATTTGAACACACAATTTCTATTGAATATAGTATTGTTAAATCATTATACAGCAGTTTATGAAGTATAAATATATCTTCAGAACACATACAATACTTTGCACAGACACAGGAGAGGGTTCAAAACACTATTTGAATGGTAGCTTGATGGGACACCTGTGTTCTATTTTGATGCAGATACTTCTTAGGCATTTTTCTTAGATAATAAAAATAAATGAGCTAAATAAATATATACAAATAACTAAACTCTGATATTTATTAGGATCTGCTATGATGTTTTCATGAGCTCCCCAACATAAATTATTCCCTAAGCTCCTAACTCTAACACTGCATGTAATACTACAAAATAGTTTTCTTTAAAGAAATCATCTTGCTCAGAAAAAAACTGAAATCTCTTTAGGAGAAATACACGCATTTGTAAACACACTATATAGGCTCAATCCTGCAACCTTTTCTGAGATGAATAATTCCTTACTTAAGTAATACCCATGTAAAGACTGTATGATCAGCCATACTATTTTCCAATTTGTCTTAGTGTTGACTGGGATTGAATGCAATGCATAAAGACACTGTCTATGGTTATGAGAAGAGTTCTGTGAAGAATGACATGAGCAATTAAAGCCTTAAATTAAAGCCAAAACAGTCACTTTGAGCTATATTCTACCCTTGTTCCAAATGTGGGCCTTCCACTGATTTCAATTGTACATATTTGTTTATTTCTAAAGACCAAAGGTCAAATACAGCATTAAGTCACTACTCAGACATCAAAATTATTATTACATACATGTACACTCCTATTTAATCCTGCATCTATCATGCACCTTTGACTGCCTCAGCTGCACTCTGCCCTCTAATCCATCTCCCCAGCAAATTCTAAAATTCCAAACTTCTCAACAGCTTCAAAACAGACACCATTATTTTAATTAAATCCACTGGCCACAGAAATGTTTCCTTTTTTTTCTCTTCCCAGATGTGAAACTCACACCTCACAAGCCTGATTAAAATGACCTGAGGCCCCAGTTGGACAACAGTCAGTCTACAATGGCGATGGTTTTCATGGTCAGATATCTTGTGCCTCCTGAATGCTAGAAAAAGAACCTCATACTTTTCAAAAGGAGAGATTCCCAAAAGGTGCTGAGATACTGAACTGGAAATCATGACATTTGTATTAATAAACAAAATCTATTTGTACAGAATTTTTAATGTAAGAGATTTTCTCGCTCCCCCGAGTTGTTCTCCTGGCACTGGGAGAGCCTGGAGCTACAGGCTGAGGTATGAAAAAGTAACAAGAATAAAAAAAAATGCAAGTGCTCTAAAACAGGCTTTTGGGCCAGGAAAAACACTTGATGGTATGGTATAAAGGTTTTACCGGTGATCCTTTGGAATGACTTATTGTTAGTAATACAGTCATGCCAAATTTACACCAATACATCTTGCTGCCACCCCACCCCATCATGTATTTTATACACCATTCACATACCCTATTCATAATAAGCTGTACACACTATCCATATTTGCATACGTGTCCACACACTCCATATTCACACACACTGGACACGTGTAACACAGCCCCGCACACGCACTGCCCCCGAGAATTCTGACCTCCGCCTGCACACGCGCGGAGGCCGAGGCTGGTGCCTCTGCAGGGAGGGAGCCCCGAGGCGCGCGCGCAGCCCCCCGTGTTTTCCAGCCTTACCCTATGACCACCAGCTCTGGATCTCGGGCACGGCGCGGCGGGTCGGAAGTCACGGGCGGGGGGCAGGGGCGCCGCACCCCGCTAGCCACGCGCATGAAAGGCGCAGAGAAGAGCGGCGCCCGGGCTCGCAGCAGCCCAGCAGGGTCCCTGTCCCTCCTGGCGGCCCCAGCGCGGACGCGGCTGCAAGCAGCGCCCCCCTGTCATTTCTCATTGTGACCCTCCATCTCTCGTCGGGAGAGAGGCCGGGAGCTGGTGGGAAAGGGGTCTGCGGGGTCGGGCTGCTCCGGAGCCGCTGCAGCTTCACCCTCCGCTCGCTGCGGGCTCTTAGCGCCCCTTCCCGACGGCCGCAGGTGGCGGGGTTGCGGAATTCCACAACAGCTGCAGTGAGCGGGCCGGGCGGCTCCTTCTCTCCAGGGCGCAGCTCTGCCCTGGGCAGATACTGTGCCGCGCGGGCCCACGCTCCAGGAAACCCCACTCTAGCCAGCCGCCTTCCTTGCCCGAACAACCCTCGCCACACCCCACAAGTGACCGACTCGTCCAGCTGCCAGACCCCGCCCTACTGTCTCACCCGCTAGGGAGAGCCCTGACCACTACCCCATCACCCCCCCCACACACACACACACACAGGCCCCTTCCCTCCTACCAATTATTCCCTTCCTTCCAGGAACAAGAGCCTTAGTGCCCTAATGCCACTGCCCCCTAAACCCAACAAAGCCCTAGCCATTCCCCGGGTGCTGGAGTAATTTGTATAGTGGGGGTGCTGAGAGCCATTGAACCAAACTGTTAATCCTGTATATAATGGAAATCACTTCAAACCAGGGGGTGCTGAAGCTCCCCCAGTTCCAGCACCTATGCCCCCCCCCACCTTCGTGTTAGCCAATAAGAAAAGCCATACCCACCATCCTAACACACACCTGCCAAGTCCTTCCACTCCACAGGACATCTGAATAGGTTCCCCCTCCCCTTCCCATCCCAGGGACAGGATTTTCAGAGCAAGGCTGCTGCTGGACTGCTCACCGGGGTCCAGATTCTGCCAGCAATGAGTAGCACTTTACTGCCCTCCTAACCCTATTGAAATGACAGGATGACTCACAAAAAAAAGTACTACTCACTGAATACTAGTGGTTGAATCTGGCCCACCTTATTTGGAGGGGGGGAATGCAAAAATAAAACAAAAAGCAACAGCGGTAGGGACAATTGCTACCAGAAACAGTGGTTAAAAATACTCCTGTTCTGGAACTTGTACCAGGCATAGGGTTGGAGTGAGCTACAGCATCAGTCCAGGCAACAAGAATGCATGCACACCCTCAATGCACAGTAAACCATAAACATATGGAGAAAAGAAGATCATTAGTGTCACTCTGGGGAATGATGGTGATTCCTCCTTTGTCCAGGTGTTAGAATTTTTATTTCAAAAGCACCATTTAATAAAGAAATTCCAAGGGAGATTTCCACCAATTGACTTTAAATGAAGGTTTATTTCAGAAATGAGTTTCTAACGCAGTTTATTCACTACAAAATTCCTGTGCTTGCCCATGGTACTGGCAGGTGTAGCCTACTGAGTATTTCCAAAATGTACCCTTTAAAAATTTCTCTGTACCTAATGATATGCCTTATTAAATAATTCCACACACTCCCACTCCTACCCTCATTTCCCCAGCTGTTTCTGAAACAATTCCTGTATGCTTGGTTTGATGCAAGAGAAAGGTGAAGCACCAGATAACACCTACATCAGGCCTTGGCTTTCCTTTGCAGGGGTTAATGAATTTGGGAAAACAAGTCAATCCAGAGCAAAGAGTTGGCTAGCAGCCTCTCCCTCAAAATCCTGCTGTGGGGGCAGGAGGAAGGCCATCTCAGATAAACTGGTAGGGATTAATTTTCCCCTCCACTATCCCAGTTTTAAATATAGCTAATCTTCATGCTACAGGCAATGGGAGAACGTGTGTGACTGCATATTTACTCCAGAGCACTTCCCACTGCTACCACTATACAGGTTCCAACTAAACATGTACATCTCAGATAAATACTGTACATCTCTCCATAAACAAATACTACCAGGAAAGGGAGCGGTCTCAGGGGAGCTAAAAATAAACTGCTAAAATAGCAGGAATATATAACAATTTGCTAAGCTATATTAAAATAATATTTAAATCTTGAAAATTTAATATTTAGATTATAGGGTTTTTTATTTTGGTTTGTTTTAAAAGAGGAATGAAAAGGAAAGTATGCAGAAATATTTCTAATGTTTACAAATACAGCTATCCTCACATACAAGATTGAAAAACATTTACTTTACACATTCTTCTGAACCACTACAACACTAAATAATAATAAACACATTACACAATCCAGACAATAAGCACAAAAGAGCATTGCAACATAATTTTAATTGTAAGCCACTATGAATAAAGACACTAACAAAATGCAACTTATGAATTGCACACCATATATCTGAGTATAAATGAGAAATATTTGCTTTGTTCTAAACTATAATGTAGTTTTATACTGCCACTAGCTGGCTATTTTGTTTATCAGAGTGTTACACTAACAACACAATACAGCAGCCCTTATGGACAAGTCACTTCAGTTATAAGACCCTAATTTACAGATGCTTATGACAGTCTTTAAAAAAAAAAAAAACCTGAGGCTGACATTTTTCATATTTGGTCACAGTCTAGTGATGAATTTTATGAGGAAAATTTGACAAAAATTCCATTTGGTTGCCTGAGATATTGGGGACAGGGGGATTTTCACCAGGTAAAACTCATTATTTTTTCCTCTACTTGGGTATCACAAATACTGAGGGGAACCAGGGAAGCTGAATCAGATGGATCACAAAGGGAGGAACCACTAAAGCCATAATTCCCCTGTGGAGCTCCACTTGTGGTAGCAATTGTGAAAGCTGCAATTAGGACATGGTTACCATGGTATCTTAAAACACTTATGGAATGGACTAGGAAGAGGACAGGATTGTGGCTAAAAGGGGGCCAAATTTTCATCCCCTACATGGAGTTCAAGTAAAAGGGTTTTGCACAGGAGACTTATACAGTGGCTTGGAGGACAAAAATCCCCTCACCCAAAGAGGAAGGCAGGGCATGGAGCACCTGCACAGGTTGGAGTGCAGTGAATTTCCCAAGAAGGGATGAGATGTTAAATATCATTCAGTGGTCATTGAGGGCTACACCCTGCTCTAAACTAGGAGAGAGAGAGAGAGAGAGAGAGAGAACGCATGGATCTTGAGGCCTCTACAGAGTGTGCTGGGCCCTTCTCATTGCTTCCTAGCCACTCACCAAGCAGCATCTCTTTCATGACCTGTACTGTCATTAGAGTTTCTACCAATCCCTCCAAGTGGAAGGAGTTTGGTGTGGAAGTCAATGCAGATTGAAGCATCATTAACTCCTGTCTCAATATCCTTCACTGTTGGAGTAGAGTGTTCTGCATAGAGTGATTGCTTCCCCTCCGCTCCATCCTCAGTATGTATCCTGAATGCCAGCTGAAGCCCAGCTGTGTGGAGTTGGTGCAGAGTGCCTTTTGCTGCCTCGGAGAAAATGAAGAGTGCATGCTGTGTAGGCTCCACTATACCTTTCCATGGGCTTAGAACCCCTCCATGTTCTTTTTTACTCTGTTTTGTTTCAACACCTTGATGTAGAGGAGAATATAGAGGGCCTCAAATGAGAGAGCAGAAGCATATGGTAGTGCATAATGCCAAAGAAGTTGCACAGAGGGTGCTGAAGTACTCATGGAAAAATCTACGGGCGGGAGAGAAGGAAAGAATACTGATCTCTCTATAGGAAGGGTGCAAGAGAGCACCAGAGGTTTATATAAAAGAGTACAGAACTGCTGTGTTTTACATAGAGTTCAGGAGTGCATGAGGGTATTTTAGATTATTAAGTCCTGAAGGCAAGGACTGTCTCCTTTTGTGTTTGTACAATGGGGTCCTAGTCTATGACACCTATGAGCTCTCTAGGTGCTACAAATGCAACACAATAATATCTATGAAATAGGTCTGGGAACAGATAAGGGAACACTTTAGGGCAGGGGTCCCCAATACGGTGCCCGTGGGCGCCTACTGGCCACTGGACAAGCAGCCGCCAAAATGCCACCGAGAAGCGGCAACGTCAAGAAGCGCTACTGCCGAAATTTCGGTGGCAACACCTCTTGATGACGCTGCATGACAGCGGCATTTCGGCGGCGACACCTCTTGACATTGCCGCTTCACGGCCGCATTTTGGCGGCTGCTTGTCCAGCGGCCACAGTCCTCGGCAGCTAGTTGTCCGGCGCCCACCCCATGGGAAAGGTTGGGGACCTCTGCTTTAGGGGAGTGTGGGAATATCTCAAAAGTCTTTAAAAGAGGTCGGCAACTTTTGAAAAGTGGTGTGCCAAGTCTTCATTAATTTAAGGTTTCGCATGCCAGAAAAGGTTTTGTGTGCCAGACCGGCAGCGCGGGCAGCAGACAAAACCCCAGACCGGCAGTGGACGGGGTCCCAGCTGCCGGCCCCGCTCAGCCCGGGTCCCGGCCGCTGGCCCCGCTCAGCCCGGGTCCCGGCCGGGTTCCGTCCATCTAGACCGGCAGCGGGCTGAGCGGGGCCGGCGGCTGGGACCCTGGTTGGCAGCAGCATGCCACTAAAAATCAGCCCGCATGCCGCAGGTTGCCAATCCCTGCTCTAAAAGGAGGTTTGTAAGCGTAATAGGAACCTTAGGAAATGGACAGATTCAGGGAAACACTGAGGAGCATCTACAAAGCTGGAGCACTTAAATGAAGTATTAAACAGGAGGGGTGCAGAAGAGATATTCACAGGGGATGTTCAATTACACGAGGGAACTCTGAAAATGTGGCTGAAGTGTACAGGAAGGCTTCTAAATGGTGTGCAAAAAGCATCAAGAATTTAAAAAGAAATGGAGGAACATAGGGTATCTCTATAAGAGAGTTGTGGTAAAAGTTTCTAGGGGAAAGTTGCGGAGCACTTCAAGGTCTCTAAACAGGAAAACAGACAACTGAAATTTTCAAATGAGTTAACAGAAGTGTATGGCTGTGATACAGAATTGGGGTCATTAGAGGAAGGGTACAAAAAGTACTTGGAACTTCTATGGTGAGCATATATGGAAGTGTACGGGTGATCTCCAAGAGAAATGGATACTCAGAGCAAAGGAAAGTAAACAAAGGAGCATAAAATCTTTAAAATTAGGGTTTTCTTGGATATATCAGGAACTACAGTGCTTCAAGCAATCTTTAGAGTAGTAACAAAGCACATTGGAGAGAAATAGGGTGTGGCAACATGAGGTCTTTACAGGTGAATTCAGGAGCACACTGACTGTCCTTAAAGCGCAAGGCAACCACATGCAACTTTGTCTCTTTCTTCCTTTTCTGGCCCATTTCTCTCTTCCACTACAGCATACTAAGCAACAGAAGAAAATTAACAATCAACATGAATTTGCCTACTGCAGTTTTGAGCAATATTTTCCCAGAAGCACTGGCTACAGTAGTGTAAATTAAACTAGTTTTGACTAATCATCTTCAAGCTGCTGCTGCAAGCACATCTGAGGAAATA